CTCCTCTCCTAAAGAGCCTTTTTCTTAGTCCCAGCCACATGCTTTCAGGAGACTCTCTTCCCTTTTACTCTCATGAATCCCTCACTCTCTGCTCTTTCTCGAAATTTTAAATGCTCTTGTTCTTTTTTGCAACTTTCCTTTTCAGAAGAGCAGGAGGGTCGCATGGATCTCAGTCATCCTGTCCATGCTGATAACTGTCTGTTGGATCCTGACGGGAAAGAGTGCTGGAAAGAGCCACCTGCCTATGTCTACAGGGACTACAGGTAAGAGAAGGGGACCCGCATTAGAGCTTGTGGAAATCAAAATGTCTCCCCAGCCCCAAGAAAGTATGAGCTCAACTTATATAAATACCAGCCAATGGGTTGTTGGCTCAAATGAGGGCTGTAGCATGAGGCTGAAGGCTGCATGAGTGCATTCAGAGTGAGGTGTTGTACACCTTCCCTAGGCTGGGAAGAGGTCTTTCTTCTCTCCCTACATTCAGCATTGGCAGAGTGCACAATGAGACTGAGAGGCTGATAGATCTAGAACCATGATATTTAGCTGTCTTTCATCTCTCATAATGCTACAGCTTACTGCTAGCACTTAGAAAAAGATATTTCTTTGAATTTTATTCTGTCTTTCTCAATCTTACTCTCCCACTTCCACACATTACAGGACAGGGAGAACCAGGCTCTTTGAATTTCTTTCTTTTGAGCTGTCAGTGTACTTTAGTGACTGTTCTCCCACTGTTCTCTCTGAGGGTTCACTTTGAATACTTTGAGTTGGGATTTTCCACTGCATGTGAGAGATTGTTCCAGATAGCAGCAGATTTTGTTACTGTATGGGAACTGTAGAGACACAGCCTGAACCACCGATTGAGCACCTGGAGAAAGGACTGGCTCAGCCCTGGGAGGGCAGGTGAAGGCAGTTTACCTGTGTGACCAGAAGGGGTAGAGCCTGGCTGTACCTCTCTTAGACCTCATTTAAGAGCTGACTGCCCCTGGGGGACAGTTTCTTGTTGAAGATCCCTCCCTTGTGGAGTTTTTCCCCATGAGCCTAGGTCCTTGGAGACGGGTGAGCATTCCTTTCTTGTTGCCCCTTTTGCCATTCCACTCCTGTATCTCCTTTCCACTGCGCTAATCTTTCCTGCAGCAGTTACTCTTCTGTGAAAGAAACAAATAGATTTTCAAGGTGGTGACAAGCCTTGCACGTTGCAGCCAAATGTGACCAGTTCACTATGTTTTTGTTCTTTTTCCCTATTCACCATCTCATCCCTGGGTACCAAAAAATTTTATATGCCTTTTCTTTGAGTGGTAGCTGAACCCAGAGCAGAAATTTGCTTTGAACAGCCTATAGTAGGGATGTGGGACCAAATGGGATCCATTTGGTGTCTTTAATTCTATTTCCATTCTTCCATGGATGTTAACTTGGTGTAGTCAGATAGTACAGTTACAAGGCTCTGTCTTCTAACTGTTCTCTATTTCCTTTGCAGGAAAGTTTATCCTGTCACTTTATTCCTCCCTGAATAGTAGAGTTCTCTGACTTGTATGCCAATGTATATTAAAATTTCCTTCCTGGATCTATGCTACTCAGCTGTTTCTAGGAGTATTCTGCCCTCTTGCAGAGTGAAATGTGGTAGACCAAGCAGCTCAGTAAGGGCCATGCTCTTCTAGTGTCCTTTTCAAAGAGGATCCTATGCTCCGGACCGTCTAAGAAACACCATTCAAAAACTTCTTGGATTTCTTCTGTGTATCTGTGCTATACTCATTAATTAAATATTAAACAGAATTGGGCCAAGGGGTCCCAGAGTTCCAGTAATCCTCGTCCAGGTGAACAGTAGACCTCTCCATGCCGCTTGTGTGCTATTCAGTGTGTGCTGTTCACATGCTCTTCTTCACCTTCTCTGTGTCAGTTAGCAATTTCTCAAGTGGCACTGCTCTGGTAAGTTTTTAGCAGAGTCTAAACTGACAAAGTTGAGCATGTTATCTTCTTTCCTTGAGACATTAACTGTTTTGTCAGAGATTATGTGATTAACTAACTGCTTTTAGTATACCCATGTAAAGAAACTGTTTTCCATGTTGTGTCCTTCAGTTATCTGTCTCCTCGGAAATGGATTTGAAAGCCCTGCAGACTTCTGAAGTTGAGCTGATGGCCTGTTGATGCCTCAGCCAATCCTCCTGTCCCTTTGTACGCATGGAAACCATCAGAGCTTTTCTCTAGTCCTGTGTTACAGCCCTGATTTGAGTCTTTAATACTCTATGGGAGAAGATCTATAACTTTATGGGCTCTGGGGCTGGTAATCATGTAATTGAAATTATGTATTTAATATTTTGCTTCAGCAGCAACAATGTTGATATCTATTTCATGCAACTAGTCTCAATAATGAGCCCCTTTTGTTCCTTTGGAATTCTCTCTTTGGTTTAACTGAATATGAGGGATAACTCACAGAGTTTGTGGTTCTTTTTTTCATACAGTCACTCAGGTTGGAAAAGACCTTAAAGATCATCAAGTCCAACCAAAACCTAACATACTACCCTAACAACCCTCTGCTAAATCATGTCCCTGAGCACCACATCCAAGCTGTTTTTAAACACATTTTTCAGGGATGGTGACTCAACCACCTCCCTGGGGAGCCTATTCCTGTGCTTAAGACAGCCAAAACAGCCCTTTCAGTGAAGAAGTGTTTCCTAACATCCAACTTAAGCTTACTCTGGCACAACTTGAGGCCATTTCCCCTCATCCTGTCACCAGTGAGAAGAGACCAACCCCGCTCTCGCTGTCAGCGCCTTTTGGATACTGGAAGAGAGCAATAAGGGCTCCCCTCAGCCTCCTTTTCCTCAAACTAAACAACCCAGTCACTGCAGCACTGAGGTGACTGCACTTCAGTCACCTCACTGCTTCTCTTTTTGTCTTGTATGAGTAAAGAAACTTCTTGTTTTCATTTTCTTTTCCACATGCACCATGCCTCTTTTTGACCATTCCTGTGTTACACTTTATTCCTTGGTTCTCAGGACCTGGCACTTTTTGTTGATTAATCCCCTTTTCCAGGCTTTAGATTGTTCACAATACTAAAACACAAACAAGGTCACACCAGGTCAGGTCTAAGGTGTGCTTAGCCCACGGCATTGTCACAATGGTGCCACAGATGCATGCTGCAGAGTATTTAAGGAAAAAAACAAAAGCCAGGATGAGTGTGTGGATCTAACTCCATGGAGTACTCCCCTGGCCTCCTGTGGCTTGCAGCTCAGGACTCCCCTGAGCTAAGCATTGCTGTATTTAACACTCCCAAATGGTTTCTCACGATAATTGAACCTCTGGCATTAATTAGGTGCTGCATTCTCCTATGACAATTAGTCTGGGGAAGTGCCAAGGCTGAATGAGCTTCCTCATCCATATGTCCTCTTTTTTTTTGGTCCACAGTGGCATTCTCTACCTCAATGATGACTTCCGTGGTGGGAGCCTTTTTTTCACTGAAATGGACACTGTGACTGTCACGGTAGGTCTGGGACTGACCAAATGAAGGACAAAGGACTGAGCATGAAATTTAGACCAGGTGGGAGGCAGCACTAGTGCTGGAGCAAATTCAAATAGGGGCAGCTAAAGGCAAATTGAGGCAAATCTCAAACAGAGAAGAGGTTAACTCCTTTCTAGTAGAGATGTTTCAGGCTCTTACCGTCTGTAGGCAGCACTATATCTGTAGAAGGACAGTGAGCCCCAAAGCAAGGGGCTGCTGGTTTCATTGTGTCTTCTCTCTCCTGGCAGGCTAAGGTGCATCCTAAGTGTGGGAGACTGGTAGCCTTCAGCTCTGGCAAGGAGAATCCCCATGGCGTGCAGGCAGTGAGCCAAGGCAGGCGCTGTGCCATTGCTCTCTGGTACACGCACTCTGCAGAGCACGCTGAGCAGGTAAAGAGCCATGCTGGAGAAACATACACAAATACCTTCAAACTATATCAGATCCTCTGAAGAATCACTTTTGAGTTCCCTTATGGGGCAGCAGTTCGTGGTTGTTCTCTGACAAGATACCCAGTGGAGGAAGTCACTGGAGGAAGTCAGACTCTGATGAGTCTTGCAAGAGAGAATGGATTCTGGCAGGGTTGGATGGATGTGGCAAAGACCATATGTGTCTCTCCAGGCCCTGTGAGCAGGTCTGAGATCCTAGCAGGGAGAGTCTCATATCATTTTTCTCTACGGCTGCAGGAGCGGGTAAAGGCAGAAGAGCTGGTGGAGCAGAGAGCTGCGGAAGAGAACCAGCCCGATGGAGATGGATATCATGGGGCTGATCACAGCAGCAGATCCTCCCCAGAGGCTCTTGTTCCCAGTGGTGGAGCCAGGCCCACGAGCCAGAGGCACAAGTCTGTCTCAGAAAGGATGCAGCACCCCAAGGAGCTGCGAGCCAGGGATGAGTTCTAAGTACATGGAGCCCTGGGCAGGACTGGCACACACAGTGGGTTCACAGGTCTTGGGAGTAGTGGGACCACAGAGGCCTGGAGCAGTTTATTAGCATGCTAGAGCCATAGTGATGGGGAGGGAATGCAGTTTTCTTCTCTGTGACTGCCCAGCAGCTGAAAAATGGTAGCAGGAACAGAGTACTAAAGCTAGGTACACCGGGATCTTTCTTCAGTGCCCTGACAATATGTTTGTGTCACTCAGAAGTAGGAAGGCCCCCTTGCCAGATTCCTCTCAGAACAAGCTTCTTGGTCCTCTGGGGCCAAAGCCAAGAGTGCTAGGGGAAGCCTGGAGACTTTGATGAGCAAGGGCTGTCTCATATTCAGGAATTCAAAGGAGAAGCCTCTGGATTTCCTTGGCGCCTGCAAACCTTGAAAACCTCAAGACTGGCATGCGCAAGGGAAGATGAGACACTGTGAATATATGGAATAAAAGGAAAGTGCTGGACAAACGTAGTGGGAGCTTGAGTCTGTACACGAGGAGGGACACATGCAGCTTGGTTGCTGATGGAAATTTAATTAACAAATGATGGAAGGAGATTGAGCCCTTAATGAAAGAAAACAAAGTATTTGTCCAGATGCCATCTACTTGTAATAGGGTAAGAAAGCTCTGCTATGGCTTACCCCTGGAAAACTTGGGAGCTCTTTTAAAGAAAAAGCACTGTACACTCACATTTCCCTGAAGTGGGGTGTTTTGTTTTGTTTTAATTCATGCACCAAATTGTCTGTGAAGGCAAATATTTAGTTTATTATTTTCCATGCTGATATAGAGACAATCTGCTGTCATTGCCCAGGGGATTAGTGTCCAGAGATGGGATTATATTGTAGCCAAGCAGGAACTGAATGAGGTGGATATGGAGCGTGAAAAAGAGCAGTGAGCATTTTCTTGGGAAGCGTGTAACTTCAAGGCCTATGAAACAGGCCTTGATGTGAGCTGCATAGAGACCACAAATGTGGTATGGAAGGAAATAAGTCTGAACAGTTGGGGCCAGTTTGGTAGGAGGTGCATGAGCGTTCCCCTCCCTGCTGTTTGGCTCAAGGCCTCTTGCCTAGTGGAACATGTTGTGTTAGCTTCAGTCCTACAGTGCTGAAGAAGCTGGACTGAAGTAAGGAAGACCTTCCCCGTTCTGAATCCTGCCACTTCCTTAATATGCAAACCTGGGAATCATGCATCAACAACCCTTTTTGTCTCCTGATCTTCCCAGGATCATGGGAAAAAGAAAATTTGATGTGTGCATTTCAAATTCGCTACCCTTAAAAGGAGATCCACAAGCTCCTTGCATCCACAGGTTCTTCCCAGTGATTTACTTGGGATCGCTGGATGTCTCCTGCTTGATGAGACCCTTTTTGGTGGGATGTGGGGCCAGTGTCCACAGCTCTGGCTTGCTCTACCCAAAGGTGGCTTGGGTGATTAGACTGATGGCTTCCTGACGTCAGATGAGATCCGTTAAAAGGTATTTATCTCAGGCTTGGGCCAAAGCTGCGGGAGAGATTAAAAAAGATTGAGGCCAAGATAATCCCCTCGCAGCATCCCACTAAAGTGGCTGCCAAAAGGCACACCACCAAATCTTTTGCTGCTCCTGGCCTCTGCGCCCAGTTCTGTTTTCCCCACGCAGAGCTGGAGTTTGCTGCCCAGAGAGGCTGGGACCCCTGCCCTACACCACTGTGGGTCTTGCCTTGGCAGGACTGCTGTGAGTGACACAATTTCCTCTTCCTGGCGTGCACAGGGCACAAGTGGCACTCTGTATCTGCAAAAATGGGAAATTTCTGTGGACGTGAGGTACATGAGCCCTGCCCCAGTGGTTTATAATCCTAGCCTGTTCTGGCTAATCTTCACTTTATTAGTCCGTGGCTCACATAAACATGGATTCAAATGTGCCCGCAATGTTTGCTTTCCCTTCAGGAGGAGTGTGCTACTCTCTCTTTTCACCCCTCCCCATCCACCTGCTTTGCATTACGTCCCAATCCGATTTCCCCAAGTCTCTGGTGTCTGATTTAATTTGCCTGACGCTGCTCCTGGAATCAGCCCTCCCCCGGCCCCTCCCGTCCACAGCCTTCCAGCTCCCCATGGGGAGATCAGTCCTGGGAGAGGTTGAGGAGCTGAGAAGGAGCGAGGGTGGACAACAGGACCGATTGGGCACCACGAGGGGACGAGGACCTTCTGGCTGGAGGGAAGCCATCCTCAGCTGGGAGGCAGGCTGTGAGACTCCCAGCTAGGGAAAGCGACCCAGCCTACGCTACAGATCCTGGTAAGGATGCTGCTTTGTTGCTCCCCATGTCACTGTGGTGAAGCTGACGCTTGGGACGCTGGGTTTCTTGGTCTGATGCTGTGGCGTGCACTGGGATTTTTGCACAGGTGCTGATCCTGTGTGCAGGTATCTGAGGAAGAGGGAGGGAAGAGATGGTGGAGAAGTTGGCGATGGTGCTCAGGTGCCTTTACAGTGATGAGGGGTTCTGGACAGGATGAGGTCACTTGTTCTCACCATGAGAGCTAAATCCCACTGGCTTCCAGACTGGTGCAGGTGGGCAGTGCCTCCCCTGAGGGAGCTGGTGCCCACCACCCTGTGCAACTCTATGCTACCGGTGTGTTCCTGCACACTTCTTTGCAATCAGTTTTTTTTTTTTTTGATGGAGAGCAGCCCACAGAAAGAGGAACAGAGCAGGGTAATTTTAACCTGGCTTTTGATCTCCATCAAAGGAGAGGGGGATCATCTCTGTATCCGGCTCTGCAAGGAGCCCAGGGTCACCAGGGCGAGCATGCAAGGCCAGCCAGGGGATTATGCGGAGACCCAGGGATGCTACCTATTAATATTCAACCTTCCTTCCAGCATCTTTCCCCTTGCAATTTGCAGCTCTCATTCAGCATCCCACAGAGAGACCACTCCCTGCCCAGTGCAGGGCAGTTCACCCTGAGAAAATTTGAGGGTCCAATTCCCTTTTCTCCCACATATTGCTCACCCCATTCCCACAAGCACATGGTGCAGGTGGCTCAGCAGGACTGTGCCTGGGAGTGTAGGATGGAATGCTGCCCTGACATGGTGCAAAGTACATGGCTACTGCCCTGACAAGTCACGGTTTGGCAGCAAAAGGCAGGGAAGGTGCCCAGGGGCTCAGAATGAGTCTGGCAGTCCCCCAACAAAAGTAATGCAGCAGGGGGCTCCAGCCAGCTCACCAGAAAAGGCAGAAGGGGAAAGCACAGTGAAAGAGAGCAGAGAGAGGAAAGCTGCTTTCCAAGTCTAAGAACTGTCAACTGGATGAGCGTGACCAACGCAGAGAGCCGAAGAGGGGCTGAGGTGGTCTGACTGAGCACAGGCTGTTTGCATTGCAGTGCTCTCCAGGTGTGTGGGGCTCACTAGAGGCACGGCGCTATGGAGCAGTGCTGATGTCATGGGTCCTCTCCTGCTCTGTTGTAGCACAAGGGTGACAGTGGTAAAAATGATTTCTCAGAGGAGCATAACAATTTGGTTTCCTCTACTGCTTAGCATTGATCTGAAAGAGCCATTACTTCCAGAAAGCACTGGGATTGCATCATTTGGAAACCTTTCCATTTAACACCAATCTTGTCAGCCTCCGTGAGCTTATCTGCAGATCTGTAAGAAATGTGCATCCCTAAGGTCCTGCTCAGGGCAGTACTGTGCCTTGGCCAGGCTCCAAGCTCCATTCCATGTTCTCTTCATCTTCACAGATTCAGTTCCCCCATTTCCTGCCCTAAATTTACATGACAAGCTGTTCTTCCGCACATCTGCCATGGTCCTCTGAGCATACAGCAGTGCTGCAGTGGGGACTTCATCACTTGCTCAGAACAAATTTCAGTGGAATGTGATGGGTGGAGGTGAAAGGTGAAACTAGGGCTATTATTACTGCTCATCTGTGGCTCCTTGTCCTGAGGCTGAGAACAATTCCCAACATCATTTAGATTGTTCCCTCAGAGGGATTTAAAGATTCAGGTGGAGATCTGAACCTGACCTGCACCTTCTCTATACTTAGCCCTTTTTATCCATCCTTGAGATCATGTCCCTGCCCTTTGATCTTCCTGTCAACTCTGAAAGCCCTGCATCTTGTCATGCATGTTGGTAGAGGGTAAAGAAGACTCCTAGGAAATGGCTCTCTAGTGCCGTATTTGAGAAAAATATACATCCAGGAAAGGAAGAGACCAAGTTAAAAACAAAAACGAAAAACAACAAACAGAAGAGATACAGAAGAATCTGTGGACTCAAGGAATGCTGGGGGACGTGCATGCAGCCAGTTTCATTTGGGCAAGGCTTGCAGGAATGGAGGGAACAGAGAAAAAATGTCTCTCTTTACTGTGCATGTCTAAGCAGACAAAAACAGAAGTCCACAAGGATGGCTAAGGGAAGGCAAATGGATGGTGATTTCAGACAGGCAAAGGTCTGTGAAAAGGTGGGCTGCAAAACAGAGAGACAGTGCTGTTCCAGCCAGGAAAAGCTTGAGGATGAGTTCTCTCTGGTGACAACATCGTGGTCCAAGGGGATGGCATGGAGCTGCACTGGGAGCAGAGGGCAGTGGGGCCCTGGAACAAACTGCCCAGGGCAATGGGCATGGCCCCAAGCTGTCAGAGTTCAAGGAGTGTTTGAACACCACTCTCAGACATAGGGTTTGAGGTTTGGGTGGTGCTGTGTGGAGCCAGAATTTGGGCTCAGTGATCCTTGTGGATCCCCCTTCAAACTTGGGATTTTCTATGGTTCTGTGATTCTGTGGAAGAGATTACCACAGAAGACAAGCCTTCATGCTTTGGGGACCAAACAGAGGAGGACAGAAGGAGAGAGTGAACTGGGAAGCAGAAACAGGCATCTGGTGCTAAGGGCTGTGGAGACATGATGGAGGGGAGGTAGGATTGGTCCTGGGGAAAACTATGAGAAGGCAAATTCTGGACCAGAATGAAGGAGCTGGTCTGCTTGGGGATGCTGAAGGTTCAGGTTTACCACTTAGTGTGCTAGGAGACAGTGACCAAAGCTGCACACAGCATCCAGAGCTTGTCCGTACAGCAAAGCTGAGGGACAAACATCACAAGGTGAGGAGCCTGCTGCTGGAAGTTGCAAGGCCTCCTCAGCATCTGCCCAGTCAGCCAGTGAGCTGAGGGATGGAGTGAGTTGTTCAATTCTTTTCCAAAGAGAAGTGCCTTCAGGTGGGTTTTCAGGACATTATTCTTTGTTCCACCTTTGGCTCCCGTTGTTCCACCTCTGGGAGCAATCTCGTCACCACTGCTCTGTCAAGAGAAAGAAAAAGCAGTGGCAAGGGGCTAGCTCAGGTGCTGATCTCCCCCCCATCATTCTATACAGCTGAGTCTGACAGCCCTAAGCCACCACTAGGATGCATTCCTCAGGCTCTGACATGGTGTCCCTGGGCCTGCACCCTGCGCCCTAACCATGCGTGGTACAGGCAGCAGGCAAGGGGCAGCCATGCTGTAACACTGTTCAGGCTTGCAGGCAGCTGGTACAAGACTTCCTCTGCAAAGAGTAGTCTGAAAAATCCTCTCCTTAGGATAAATACCTGCCTCCTGGGAGCTGAGGGAAACCTGCATCTCGCTCAGCAAACTCTGACCAAGCAGAATTTAATCCTGCTTGAAGCAGCAAAAGACAGAGCTGCTTAGGGGAAGAGATTCTGAAGAGAAAATCAAAGAGTTCATGAGGAGCAACTATATAAAGATGGTAAGCAAAATTGGGATTCAGGAGCTGTCAATGCCTGGGGAGTGCCCACAGCCAGAGAGCAGCCTGGCATGGAGAAAGCAAGGCCTTTGGGCAACAGGCCAAAGCAGGATGGAATGCTATGGCTCACAGAGGGTAGCAGTAGTTCTGCAGGTCCTTGGAGTCTTACAGGCCTTGGACAAAGTGCCAGCTTTAAGGATGAACACCTAAAACATTTTTGGACACATATTCCTACCAAGGAAAAAGACTGAAATAATAAAGACCATATTTGTCTTCAAGAGTGAAGATGTCAGAATCACTGGTGGAGTTTTAAGTATGCCAAATGGAAAAGAGAGAACAAAACTGAGATGTTGTTCAATCTTATAGTGTAGCTGTAACTTGAACATGAATTGCAGTTCTGGTTCATTGCCCTCTCTATGCAAGCGTACCATCTATGCTCTGTAAACAACTGAAAAGTGCTTAGAGAACAACAGAGGTGATGGGATGCAACAGTTTACATGTAAAGAATGACTAATCGTGCTCTGCGTTCTGCAAAAGGGATGGATAAAGATGAATATGACAAATATTCATAGATATGAATATGACAATAGAATGATAGAATAGATATGATAGATATATGATAGAATAGATATTTATCTATTCACCTCAGCATCACTCACATACAATTCTGAGTGATGCTGAGGTGAATAGAGACCATTTATTTGCAGATTCTTTCGACTCAAAAGAACCTCCAAGTGGAACTAGTGCCTTTTGGGTGTATCAGAACCAGGAACTTCTTCATAAAGCATGCTACTGAGTTGTGGAATTCCTCACCACTGTGCACTGAAGATACTAAACTTTGACTATGGTACAAAAAGTGACAGGACAACTGTGTAGAAAACCTGTGAAAGCCTTGCATATCGTAAATGCTGCCACTAGCTTTGGAAGCTAGTGAAAAACCGGGCTAGGAAAATAGGAGAAATACCACTGTCTGCTTATGCTAATCTCAGATTCCTCCCGAGGTGTCCACATTATTATTATTATTATTATTATTAATTAGTTTTATTTTATTTAAACTAGAAGAGAACTTCGTTAGAGCAATCCCTCAGTTTCCTTGATGGAGGACTGGTGAGCAATGCCTGTTGATGCAAGTGCAGCAGAACTTCAGCAAGAAGTTCTTCAGCTTCTCAGTGTTCATGTAAGCAGGACACAAGACCAAAAGGATGTTTGATGAGGTCTAGCATGACCTTCCCAAATGCTAAAGGCATTGACTGGGTACAGTGAGACATTTCAGTCGTTCAACCAAAAATCAGCCTTTATCAGAGACACCTGCATTTCCATAACTGAGCAGTCTTATTGTAGGCCTTTCTACCTCACATCTCTCTCCCTTAATTTGTCTTCCCAGATTGAAGGTTGCCCACGTGGAAAAGCCACCTCTAGCTCAGAAAGATGGGAGAAATGGAACAGATGAAGCAGGAGGCTGAGCAGCTGAAGAAGCAGATTGCGGTAACGCTGGCAATAGTCATGAAACTGCTGGCAGAGTGTCTATCCCTTGTGTCTAAGTCTCCAACTTGGAGCTGAGCTTTCTCCAAGTACATCCTTGGAGCCTTCTGCAGCACCGCACAGCCCTCTATGTACTAATGGAGATCTTCCTAGTATGGAGGGAGGGATTGGAAGGAAAAGTAGACAACAAGGGGGAGAATGGAATGGACATTGACATCATGACTGCAGATGAGCAAAGACTAATTCATCTCCAGACCTCTGTCTGTGGGGGCAGCTGATGTTCTGTCAGGCTGGAGGATTCATGGAAAAGATGTTGCATGGGGAACTGGGCAGCCTTAGACTCACCTCTCTACTGCTTGTTTGACTGGTGCTGAGCAGCCCTTATCACAAAGCAGGAACTCCCTGTGCTGGGTACAATACAAACTAAGCAAAACTCCTATCCATTTTAAATGAGACTGTAGGGAAGGCCTCTGAATTGTACTTGCTGTTGCCTCCGTCACACACCTTTTTTTCTGTCTCATCCACTCTTGTCTCTCCTCCAGGATGCCCGGAAAGCTTGTGCAGACACAACACTTGCTCAGGTAAGGGCCAGGACTGATTGGGCAGGTTAACATGCATGAGGTCAGCTAGCATCACTTCCAAGGGGACTCTCCAGGTTGGAAGCAATTAGGAAGCAGGGATAGGGAGGCAGTACAGCTCCTGTTGGTCCCAGATTAATTATTTCCCTCCCCCTGCTCTTTCCTCAGATTGTGTCTGGAATGGAGGTTGTCGGCCGCATTCAGATGCGGACCCGAAGGACTCTGCGTGGGCACTTGGCCAAGATCTACGCCATGCACTGGTCAACAGACTCCAAGTGAGAAAGATGCTGCTGATCTGCTGGGTGCCTGGCAACATGTAGATATAGAGAGCAAGAAGGCTCTGGCAAAGAAAGACCTACTAACACAATCTTATTCCTTTCTTGCAGACTACTGGTCAGTGCCTCACAAGACGGGAAACTGATTGTGTGGGACACATACACAACTAACAAGGTAACAGTTATGTGGTTGCAGAAAACTGGGATGGGATGCAGGATTGGAGCCCTTCAGATGCCCTCAACCTGCTCTCCCATCTCCTCTGCTGCCAGAGACCAGACATGGTTTCTTGTCCTCCCAGGTTCACGCCATCCCTTTGCGTTCCTCCTGGGTCATGACCTGTGCCTATGCACCCTCAGGTAATTTTGTGGCCTGCGGGGGCCTTGACAACATGTGCTCCATCTACAACCTCAAGACACGTGAAGGCAATGTCAAAGTGAGCAGGGAACTCTCAGCTCACACAGGTGGGTGTTCTGCCTGTCAGCGCCTGGGTGCCTCTGCTTCCAAATCTCACTCTTCTAGCCCTGCTCTGTCTCATATTCGTTGGTTCCTGCTCCCCAGGTTACCTCTCCTGCTGCCGGTTTCTTGATGACAACAGTATTGTGACTAGCTCTGGAGATACCACGTGGTAAGTGTTATCCTCTGTATCTTATTGACACAAGCAGCCACAGGCACTGAAAACTCACACTGGTTCCATCATATACTGTATTTTGGGAGAGCTCTGCCTCATGGTGGTATGTGATCTCAGGCGCAGACTCTATGCAGCCCCTCTGGCTATTATGGCTGAACAAGTGGTACTCTTTCTGCAGCATCTTTCTTTCCACTTTATGTAAGGATGTTTTACCTGAAGGCCACAAAGAGCAACTCAAGAAGCCAGACTCTGCTCTGCAGCTGCTGTTTTTCCCTGTGCAGGTTGGGTCAAGATACAGGTCTATCGGTGAAACGGGTCTATACTCCCGCTCATCTCATGTGGTAGCCAGGCCCATGACTTCCCTCCTTTTCCTTGCAAGCAGAACAACTCTTTAAGCCAGCTAACAGCACTGTATGGCCTTGTCTGGCTCTGACAAGTTCTCTCTTCCACAGTGCACTCTGGGACATTGAGACAGGGCAGCAGAAGACCGTTTTCCTGGGTCACACTGGAGACTGTATGAGCTTGGCAGTTTCCCCAGACTTCAAACTGTTCATCTCTGGAGCCTGTGATGCCACTGCCAAACTGTGGGACGTGCGGGAGGGTACCTGCCGCCAGACATTCTCAGGGCATGAGTCTGACATCAATGCCATCTGCGTACGTATGCCTTCTGTGTGGTAGAGGGGAAAAAAGAAAAAAGAGGATGGGCCAGCAATGAAATAGAATCTCAGGTCAAAGTTGAGAGAGGCTGTCAGTCACATGAGGAACAAGGGTCTTGGGATTCAGCCTGAAGCAAAGAGGGCTTGAGTTCAGGTTGGGGGCTGGTTCTTCCCAGGCACTGGGGCACCAAAGCACCTGCCATTCTTCAAGCCTGGCTTGGACCCAGCTAGTACACTGTCATCTGTGGAGCTCAGCACGATAACACGTGTTTATGCTGCTTTGCTTGTACCAGCTGTTGGGAACCTCAGCTTCGGCATGATCTAGGAGCCTTGACAGAAGACACAAGTGAGGTAGCTGGAATATCTGATTTAGCTGAAAGTCTTGTCTTCAGCTTGTAGGGGTGCTAACTTGGGATCACAAGATCATCTGAAGAGGAAACCTATGTAAGACAGCAGAGAGATCTGGGAAAGTATCCACCGTAGAGGCAAGGATTCAAACCAGAGCCTTAGAGGTGACAGAACAGTATACAGTGTCATCTCTTTCTGCTAATTAAATGGGTCTGCTGGCTTCCTGCAATGTACAGCTTCTCTCACCTGACACGTGGCTATTCTTCTGCCACACCTGTGTAGCTTGATTTTTGCTCTGGGGGCTGGGGCAGGACACACCCAAGAAGCACTTATGAGAAGGTGGCTTCCTGATGGTTAGCAGAGAGGTGAAAATCCATAAGAACAGCCTCATTGAAATCCGATGTGCCCTTCACAGTTCTTCCCTAATGGCGAAGCCATCTGCACTGGCTCAGATGATGCCACCTGCCGCCTCTTTGACCTCCGGGCAGACCAGGAGCTCATAGTGTACTCTCACGAAAGCATCATCTGCGGAATCACATCAGTCGCCTTCTCCCGCAGCGGGCGCCTCTTGCTTGCTGGATATGATGACTTCAATTGCAACATCTGGGACTCCCTGAAAGCAGAACGTGTGGGTGAGTGGCTCCTGGAAGTACCCCTTTCATTCTCTGCAGAGGTCTTCTATCCCTACCAAAGAAAGGAAAAGCAACGTACCCCTAATTTTTCTGAAAGGGACACATCCTATACCAACCAAAACTCAGCAGTGCTTTCTTATGCTTAAATAATAAATAAACTATCTTACAAAATGTTGGCTTTAATGTTAATCAGGTCAAGGCTTTAAACAAGTTTTTCAGAAGGGAAAAGTGTCAATATTCCTCTTAGCTAAACTGCTCTCAAACATCAGTATTATTTCATACATTCTTACAGCGCTGCACAGTGGCCAGGCACCAAGCTGAGCATGGATCTGGGCTTCTATCCAGCACCTTTGAATGTTCTGATGCAAAGGATACGCCTAGTTACTATCTTTCTTCCAGACATGGCTCCTAGTCCCCCAAAACTTATCAGAGCCCACGTTTGATCTCCAAGAGCATTGCTCTTTTAGTTTTGTCAAGGACACCTTCCTTTCTTAGCCTTACAATGGCTCCATGGTGAAAACAGTTGGCAACGATCTCTTGCATTGAGGATGCTTCTAGCTGGACCTTCTTAAGAACATTGGTCCTTGGCCAGATACTCTAGTTGTACACCATGCACAAATGTTCTTCTGCACACTTGCTCTTATTAGCCAGGTACAGATTGCTAATCACGTTTTGCGGGAACAGAATGATGCATAAGAGACTGGGCAACACAGACTGTGGGGAAAGCACTCAGCTCAGTTAAGCCTTTTGCCTTCTCCCAGCCCTATTTCTTCTACTGATTTCTCATCATCTTCTCCCATCAGGAATCCTTTCTGGCCACGACAACAGGGTGAGCTGCTTGGGCGTTACAGCAGATGGCATGGCTGTTGCCACTGGCTCCTGGGACAGCTTCCTCAAGATTTGGAACTAAGGACAGCAGAGGAGAGAGAAAGAACAGCGGAAGCATGGCCCACGGCAACCGCATCATCAGCCAAGCACAACAGAAACACCCACTTGTCACTCTCACTTCTCTCTACACACAGGTTGCTTACAGGGGTCTCCTAGAGTGAAAGGGGAAGTAGGGGGAGCACACACACTGGCTGTTCTCTCTAAGTAAGCCTAAATTCTTGCAGGCTTGAAGACCTACAAAACACATCAGTTATATCTCTGGACTTTCCAGTACAGCTCAAACACTGCATCTTCCTCCAAACACCACCACCCACATTTGGTATCCAGCCCTTGGAGGACCCCTCATTCAACACCTCTGTCCTAGACCTTTGATTTAACTATACCTAGCTTCTGTGGGGCTGTCATACTTCTGCAGGCAGCCTCAGAGATGTACTAGGCTTGAGATTTCTAATATGCAACCTTTACCAAGCAGGTAGTGTAACTTGGGCTCACTTTCTATTGGGAAAAACTTAAGACTTATCTATGGATAAATGGGGGGAAAAAAATAGCCCTCAGACCTTCCAGACTACCAGAGAATGTTTTGTTTATTCTTGTTTGCTTCTTGCTGTTTCTTCTCTTTTTGCCTCATTCCTATATTGTGCAGTGACCCTGTCTAACCAGTAGCCATCAGCCACCGCTTTCATGTCTGTTCTAGGTCTCTATAGTCCAGGCAAATAAAGAAAGCTGACATAAGCACCACAGACTGTTATTTCCAGAGCCTCTCTTCTCCCGTGAACACTCTCTTGATTCTCTCTCTAAAGAATGTATTCTTTTAAGTCCACAAGGAACGTGTTCCTCTGTTGTTTTGTTGAGAATAGCCCCATTTGTCCTGAAGTTCACTGCTCTGAGTTAGAATGGGGCACTGAAATTATAGCCCTGCAAGCCTTGGAGATCTGTAACAATTTAAATCTCTCAGCTCAGGAGACAGCTGAGCATCAGAGCTAATGGAAAGCTGACATATTAGTCCCTTAAACTTAGAATAAAAGAATACACACATACTGGACAAGCAGAATGCTCCTACTGTCACCTCAGATACAGAGTATCAAACACCAGCTAAGTTTTAAGATTAATTTATTTACTATAAGAACTATACAGTCAGTACAGCCTACGGAGAACCAAAGTCTGTACGTATATGAATATACATAAGGTTAAGAGTATTATCTTCCCAACAGAAAAAGGTGAAGATAAATCATGAGTCTGGAGTCTTAGTTGATTTCAGGATTTCCCAGTCCTAGAGGACTCTCTGAAAAGAGAATTACAGGAAGATGTTTGGAAAAGAAATCTCTAGTTCTCCAGAAAAGGACACTGTTGGTTTTCTTTGTTTAAATCATTCCAAGCACAGTTCCCAGCTTTGAGGTTCCTGCTCAGATCCACTGCCACATCCTTCTCCCCAGGGTTCTCCCCCAGTATGTGCTTCTTAACCTACAGAAGGAAAAAAAATGATTGTAAAATACAAACTGAGTTATTCAACTCTCAGTAAAATACGTAAGCCATTTTCATTCCATATTTGATGGAATATCTGGCACTCTAATGTAACAGCACAGGATTTTCATAGAAAATAAAGAGAGGATGCACTGGAAGGGAGTAGTATTGTGGTAGAGTTGGGAATGCAGATATGGAATAAGATTTGAGAGGGATCTAGGCATAAGATCATCCCATATAAGCATTCTCAGGATATCACCAGGCTCTACAGGTTTGGGAGACCATAGTTCCAGCCTGTGGCTATACAAAAAAATGGAGAGATTTGTTATTTCAGCCCCTTCCCCTCCCACAGTATGAAGCAGTGAGATTTACCTGACGTTGGACAGGAGCACTGGGGGAATTATCGTCTTGTAGGATACTGAAGGGAGAACGGACAATCCCACCAGAGGTTGCCAAGATCTTGTTGCTGGCCTTGCGTCTTGCATGCTTGTTCACTGAGAAGCAAAGGAAACAAGTCAGTGCATCACAACAAGGCTAAATGGTCCTGGATTTTACGTGCTTCCTGACATATGATCTCATACATGTTATCCAGAAGGTAAGAGGATCAGAACGAGACAAAGGTGGAGGCTGGCAGGGACCTCTGGATCTATCTGACCATGCTCTGCTCCAGCAGGGACACCGAGGGCTGAGTGCCAAGGACCACAGTTGGGTGGGTATTAGAGACCTCCAGGGAGAGCCCAGAGCCTGTGGGCAACCCATGCCAGGGCACCATCACCAGCGCAGCACAGAAGCGCTGCCTGGTGTTCAGAGAGAACCATGTTCTCTCTCATGAACTCTCTGGTTTGTGCCCATTGCTTCTAGTCCTGACAGTGGGCAACACTGATAAGAGCCCAGCTCTGTCCTCTGTGCACCCTCCTCTGGGGTGTAACTCTTCAATCCTTTAGAGAAGTAGTCCCCAGCCTGCCAGCTGGAAGAACCGTTGGAGACCGCTTGCTCCAGCACACACCCCCCCACAAGCAGCCCCTCAGCCACCCCCAAGGGGCTCACCAGAGGCCAGGCCGGGCCCGGCACAGCGGTGTGGCCGCAGGGTCACCTCGCAGCCGGGCTCGGAGCCCCTGTCGGGCTGCAGCTCCGCGGTGCCCCGCAGGGCTGGCTCTTCACACGCGCGCGCTGCTGCGGGTGGCGGAGGCTCCGGGGGCGCGGTGTCGACGGCGAAGGCCTCTCCGAGCTGCCTGACCAGGCACTCCACGCTGTCTGCGGGGGAAGAGACAGCGCTCAGCCCACACTGGGAATAGGCCCCGGGGAGGCGGCCCGGCACTCACCGCTCTGCGTGTCCTTCATGGGCGTGCGGGATATGCCGGGCGTCGGCGAGCGTGGGTCGGCGTCCTGAGCGCCTGCCTGGGCAGGCCCGGGCTGGGGGCTGCCGGCGGGGGAGCTCACCACCTGCGGGAGGACAGCGGGCGCTGAGGGGCCGCGGAGAGCCGTAAGGAGGGAGGAAAGGGGGAAACGCTGTACCTCAATGGGGGTGCGCAGGATGCCGGCACTCGGGGAGCGCGGATCGCTAACGTGAGCCAGGTGGCGGTTGCGGAGGGGACCGGGCACGGGAGTGGTAGGAGCACTGCCCGAGGCGCCCATAGCGGCGGGCGTGGAGCCGCGCGGTGCCCAGCCGGCGGCGCTGCCGCGATTCAAATCTCCCGCTCGGCCGCGGTGGCGCCGCCCCATTGGTCCCCGCCCGGAATAGGGCCCCGCCTCCGATCCCGCCCCGAACCCGCCCCCGCCCCGCCTCCTGCCTTCTGTCGATCTGCGTGAGACTCCGCCCCACGCCGCGACGCCATTGGCTGAGGAACTCGGCAGGGCCGCCCGTGACGGCTGAAGGGCGGCTGCGATTGGCCGAGCCGGCCGGCCCGAGCGGCAGGTGGGCGGGGCAACCGTCTCCAGGCCACGTTACGGGCGTGCCCGCGCGGCACGGGATTGGCCAGAGACCTTACGAGCATGCGGGACTGCGATTGGTCAGGGTGGGGCCGCGGGCGGAGCTGCAGTGTGCCGCTGTCATGGCGGAGCTGAGCGAAGCGCTGCTCTCGGTGTTGCCGTCCATCCGGGTGCCTAAGGCCGGCGACCGGGTCCACAAGGACGAGTGCGCCTTCTCCTTCGACACGCCGGTAAGCTCGCCCCGAGGCCGACCTCCGCGGCCGGCCGGGCTGCTCCCCGCTCCCACCCGTTCTCAGCCCACCCGGGCGCCGGGAGTGCCGCCCGCGCGGGGCGCCATGGGATTTGTGGTTCCCCGGCTGCCGGGGCCGTGTGCGGCCCGGCGCGGCGCAGGGCCGTCCGAGACTACAGCCCCCGACGTGCCTCGCGGCGCACCCCTCCCGGCCGCGGAGCGCTGGGGGCTGTAGTACCCGGCCGGAGCGGGCGTGGGCAGCTCGTCGGCCCCTCGCCCGCCGCGGAGTATGCCGGGGGCTGTAGTCGGGCGGGGGGCGCTGCCCGTTGGCCTGGCGGCGTCACGCGGCCCCGCGGGCGGGGGCGAGCCGGTGCTGTGTCACTAAGATGGCAGTGGGCGTCTCCGCGGCCCTCTCCACGCCGGTGCCGGCGTCCCCGCGCCTCTTTCCCGAGCCGGCCTGGGTGGGCCTAGGGAAGGGCGAGTGCCCCTCGGTCTCCTCCGCAGGGGATGTACCGGAGCCCTCGGGAGAAAGGCGCTGCCCTCCGAAGGTGGAGGCTCTTTGGGAAACAAAACCCCACCCCCTGGCCCGGCTTCCCTGCTGAGCCCCGCGCAGTGCCAGTCCCTGTGCTCTTTCCCTGTCTGCCCACTCTCTGCATTTGGATCCCTGCCCGCTTTGGCTTAAGGCTGGTATCTTTGCTGAGGTGTCTTCGTGCTTCTGGGGTGAGCAGGGCTCACCTGTAGCCAGTACAGAGTTCCTCACAAGCTTTTGTGTGCAACAGTGAAAACAAGCAGTGGTGTGCTGGCCTTCCCTGTGCTGTGGCCTGGCAGAGCTCCCCATGGCCACGGGAGCTGTGCCTGCAGGCAGGGTGGCACAGCTGCACTGGGAGTGGTTATGCTACATTCTGACTGTGTGAACGATGCATGCTGCAGGCCTCTGGTGGGGCATCCTCCTCACCCTCCTGGGGATCTTGCTCAGACATCACAGGTTGGGTATCATCCTGCTGTGCGTGAGGAGTCATCTGGGTTTACCTGTACATCACCCTATAGGAGCACCTATCCTGGGACAGCCAGAGGAGGGCTTGTCAGCTTAGTTCAGATCAGTTACTAAATAACTGATATATAGCAATGAACTAGTGCCGTTATTTAATCAGTAGTTGATAGCATTCCAAGAGGTACCTTCTGTCCTAACCGTTGGAATGGCATTCTTTGCTGTCTCCCTTCAGTTTTTCTCTCCCCTTCCTTCCAGGAGTCTGATGGCGGCTTATATATCTGCATGAACACGTTCCTGGGCTTTGGGAAGCAGTATGTGGAAAAGCATTACCAGAAAACAGGCCAGCGGGTCTATCTGCACCTCAAAAGAACACGTAAACCGGTATTAGTAAAATAAATAAAAACAAGGTGGCAGTACTAAAAAATAATAGAAGTCATGCTTGTTCTGAAACTGGGAGGTGGGAGATGTCTCAGTGTTAAATCAAGTATAGAGTTTTTCCTTCTGAGTTATCAATG